TTAAGTCTTTAAAAACTCATTAAATGGTTATATTTTACAATTAAATCAAGAAATTGCACCTAAATTGTAAAATTAAAAAGGAAATAATTATTGGTATTAATAAACACAATGGACAATCTTAATAAAATTTATCTTCTCTATAACAATCTCCTAAGATAAATTGAACGATAAATTATTTAAATATATAAAAAGCATTCATATTAGTCACACTTAAATGCATGAGTATTTTCTCTTAAATTTCCAAAATAAATTTTTCAATAACATTATTAAAATTTAAAGTTTATAAAATCAATTTAATAAAAATAATAGTATTACTGTTAATTAAATCTGAGTTGAGAAAATTATTAATTTATGAAATTCAATATTAGAATATATTGACTCTCAAGAAATACGAAGATTAGAAAACTTAGAAATGATAAATGTCGAAAGATTTGGTTGTAGAATCTACTTTATCTACTTTATAAATCTTGTACAATTCAGATTTTAAATATAAATTGAGAGAAAATGCTTGGTAATGATAAGAATAATACCAAAAAAAACAGCATACAAAGATTTAAGATATTATTGCATTCATGCAACTAAAAGTTCTATTTCATAATATTTTAAAATGTGCTAAATTAATTTCAATTTAGTAATGCTTCAAGATTTTTAAAAAAGAAAAAAACTATAAAATAGAACTCTATCAACAAATATTGGACACAAGAAATATATTAAAATAGATTTAAATTAAGGGTTAATATAGGTTAGTTTTAAAATTAATCAAGTGTTATAGAATATATTTAATTAGAATTTACTCCAATAATTCTCCTAAAAGGAAACGGTTTTTTAATAAAAAACTCTCTTAAACCTTGAAAAATTTAAGTCTGGGTAAAACATAATATTATTGTATCTAAATTATATAGCATTTTTAACCTAAATTTCTATAAATCTATAATCTGAAAAATACTTGTTTTTGATATAATAGAAGGATAGACTTATCTTCACTACCAGAAGCCAATGTATTTCTGAGTTGTCGATATAATTTTGTTTTAGCATCCTGTTTTGAAATCCAGCAATATCACTCTGAAGTTTACAGAGTATGATGAAAATAAGAAGAGATATTTGTTAAATTTTAATTATTTTGTTTACTTTTGATTTTATTTATTAAGAAATTTCAATAATAATTGTTCCTTGGTCCCTATTCGCTCTCAAAATCTCTTATTTTCTAAATTTATTTAGAGATTTACTTTTGCAATTATATCCAATTGTATAATAATATTTGGTTGAGGATGATTTTTTATTTCTAATTCTATTTTACAAAAGGTCTTTATTTTTCTTATCTAAAAGCTTTAATAATGGATAGGTGCTCTCAGAAAAAAAAAATGCTATAGTTGTATGTAACTTTTTGAAAATGTTAAACAATAAATTTAAAAAGATGAGAGTATGCAAGAAATGGAGTAGACTCTTGGGAATGGTGGGTTTTTTCTTTCTGGCTCTATTGATTACCATTCACATAAGAGCGACAAAACTAGAGTACCAAGAGAAGAAGGAATATTAATAAAGCTGAAAATATTCACAATTTAATGTTAGAAAAGAGATTCAAAAATTAAAAAGAAGTTGATTAAATCTAAAATAAAACAACTATAAACATTTAAGAGCATAGAAGTTTAGAACAGAAGTATGAATTGCTCTAATTTATTAAAAAAAATTAATTTATATAATTCTCATTTTTTCTCTTATTTATAGAGATAGGATTCCTACTAAAATATAGAATGAGAGGTCTAAATAATGAAAATGATTTTAAGCTTTATCATAATTTAATTCAAATTTCCTTCATATTACTTTACAGTTTATGCTTTTCCTCCAGAAAAATCATTTGCTTAGTTTTTAGAGAGCAAGGCTGAAATAAATGTCTCAAATGAGCACAAACTCTTGAATAACGAAGAAAACTTTCGGCTCTCTATCCTTTTCTCAAAATATAGATAAATCATCTAATCCTCCATTGTTAAAAGGAGCAAGAATTCAAATATTTAAAAAAAGATTTTTTCATTTATTTAATTTATGGGA